AGAATCTCAGACTATTTAAGCCACCACTTACACCCATCTGTGTCTGCTCCATCCATCCCTTGGCCCTATTCCAATTTACCTACCCTTCCAATTTGCCCTCTCGAATGTTGATGGATCATTCTATTCAATAAATAAAGTCTATTTTGTATCCCCAATGGCACTTGATTTGATCCTTACAACTGATTAGAAAACTAGAATCACAGACTTTAGAGAAAGGAGTGATTTTAGAAATCTACAGATAAGTAGCAGAGCCAGTATCCTAGTTTACATCATCTGATTCCAAATATTTTTTTTCTTTTTTTTTTGCTGAGGCAATTGGAGTTAAGTGACTTGCCCAGAGTCACATAGCTAGTGAGTATTATGTGTCTGAGGCTGAATTTGAACTCAGGTCCTCCAGACTCCAGGGCCAGTGCTCTATTCACTACACCACTTAGCTGCCCCCCAAATCTTCTTGTGTGATGTAATGGTCATAGGTGTCAAGATATTAGAAGAAGCCCTGTTTTCCACAGCTAAGACCCAGCAAACAAGCTGTGCTCTGAGCTTGGCATAACAACAATACTTTGTGCTCACCCTCTGGATGATCTCAGTCACAGCAAAACCCCAGAACTGGGACTTACAATTTCTTTATTTCCCAAGGGATCCTGACCCGAGAGCTGGAACTGCAGATGACATACTGCAGCAGAAAGTGAACAATCACATTTTCTGACATTCTGAACAATCCCTGAACTTGTAACTGCTAAGTGAACTGAACCAGATGCTGCATTCCTGTTCCTGCTATGCTAACTCTGGTTCTATACCCTGCTGAACAATCACAAGGCTCAATGACTCTGAGGACTTGAGACAATCACAAGGCTAATAACTTAGAGACTGTTCCCACAGGGCACAAGAATGCCTGTATTGTCCCCCCAAAAAATGCAAACTGTGGGAACTGTTTACTCAAGATCTAAGGACTGTGTTGGGTCACGCCACTTTGTGGTTTTCATGCTTAAAAACCTTACTGTTGCCATAAGTCAGCAAGTCCTTCTTCTCTAGAAGGTAGACTTCCACTTGCATGAAATTAAACTTCTATTTGATTCCTGACTCACCTGTCTCTGGCCTGCTTTGTTTGGCTCTGACCATCTACAGGTTAGAGACTGGTCCAGTTTGGACTATATTTAAAATTCTTTTGTCATTAATTCTGGACGAGGGCTGAGTATACTGTCCTAGTTTTTTTTTCCCTCTTTCATTTTCTTATGTGCCCAACCACCAAAGCCCTGATTCAAGCATGTGTTGGCATTTTCTCCCTCTACATTCTTGCTCCCACCTTTTCTGCTTGCAAGCAAACAATGGCTAACAATGATATCTGAGACACACTTCTCCAAAGGGTCCCCTCAAGGAACTAACCCCCTGGGCAACATCTTGTGCTTACCTAACTGGCCTCTCATGGCAACTTGGCTTATATCTGCCTCTCCTTTATTGGCCAGAAGGGTAAGGGTTCTCTCAGACCCCCTTCCCTTTGGCCAACTTGAAATGTCAGGTTATTAGGAGACACTCTGTTTTCCAGAGCTAAAGCCCAGCAAGCAGGCTGTACCCTGACCTTGATATAACAACAATCCTTTGTGCTCACCCTCTGGATGATCTCAGCCACATCAAATCTCACAATTGTTTCTGGTCATGAAGCCCTGCTATGAATCAAACTTGTGCCATTGTTGCTGTTACTCCTCGTTGTCAGGGCTACAACTCAATGTGTAACCATAGGTATAAGTATTGAGATCTCCTCACCCTGCCTCCACCCCACCAGGGTCAGGGCTCCAGTACATGTCCTTGCTTCCACGCCATTTCTTTCACTTTGAAATTAAACTCGTGTTTGATTTCTGACTCTCCTGTATCTGGCCTGCTTTGTTTGGCTCCAGACACCCACAGGTTAGAGGCCAGTTCTGTTCATCTGACTGACAGAGGGCTGAAGCTGGGGTCAAGAAACAAAAGTGAAACTATCTCTGCCCTTAAGAGGCTGACATTCTATAAGGAAAAGCAATATGTATACACATATGTAGATGCAAAATATATACAAAGAAAATAGAAGGTAATTCCAGAAATTTTAAAATATGTTGTATTTGATTTTCTATATACATGTTACTTCCTTGAGGGCAGGGGATCCTTTTGTTTTTTTTCTTTGTATCCCAATGGCCCAGAATATAGAAAGCGCTTAAGAAATGCTTATTGAATTAATGTGCCTTGTACCTAAGATAGGTCTGAACCCAGGCCTCTTGACTCCAAGTCCAACACTCTGTCCCCTAAGCAACTAAGTATTTGGAATCAGAAGATGTAACATAGAAGACCTGAGTTCAAATCTCAGCCTTACTATCTGTGTAACCCTGGACAAGTCACTTAACTTCTGTTTGCTTTAGTTTTCTCATCTATTAAATGGGAATAATAGCACTTACCTTCCAAGGTTGTGAGGATCAAAAGAGATAAGAATTGTAAAATGCTTAGCACAGCCTGGCAAAGAGTAGTTCCTATGTAAATGTTAGCTGCTATCATTATCATTATCATTATTATTGTTATTATTATTATTATTATTATGACTACTAGATTATCTCCAAGGTCCCTTCTAGCTCAAAAGTCTATGATTCTATCTTACTGGATGATCATGAGGATCAAATCTATCACTCTGGCAGATACAAAATAATATATAAGACATGGAACACTGCCCTCAAAGATCTTGTAACATAGTTGGAAAGAGAAAACTAATACATATGTAAAAACAAACAAAAAAAAACCAACTATGTACTACTCATCATAAGTTGAACTCCTTAGAATGAGGAGGGAGATAGGGGAAGCTCCCCTAGAGAGGGCCTGAAGACAATAGGATCTCCATCCTGGTCTGTTGGAGCAAAGGTAGCCCTTTCTGGTTACTGTGCAGGGAGAAAGGGCCAGGCAGTGAACGTTCCGAGCCACAACAGGCAGGAAATGGGGCCAGCAATCTGCAGAGAGTCCTCCGCAAGCCCTGAATTCTGCGTTCCTGTCAAAGTCACAGCAGGAGCTTCAGTGTCTGGGTGCCTCTGCCAGGGAGGTCTTTACAGAAGGCCTGAGACCAGTACGTTCTCTGCAATCTCTTGGGCCACAGTAGAGGATGGAGCCAACTCCAGTTGGGGATTGTGCTAGCAGACAAATATGAGGCCCAGGCCAACGCCCAAGGGCTAGGCCATCAAGAGAAAGGAACTACAGCAAAGGGTGGGCCCTGGTCCCGAACACTGCCATCTGGAACTACAGTGACAGCCAGAGTACAGAGAAAACAAGCCCTGCCCACTCTATCCAAGAGAACCAGAGTGGAGCCTAGACTTGGCACAAAGTTCTGAGCCAAGAACAGAGGCTGAAGATATGAATAAACAGAAAAAAACTCTGAATACAATGAAGAAATACTATGTTTTAGGAGAAGGCAAACCAAGAAGATGAGAGTAACTCAAATTAAATAATGGCTTGGCCACAAAAATTTGAAGAAAGAAATGAAACAACATTATTTTAAAATTACAGTTCAGGAGGAAAAAGTTGAAAGGAGATTAATATCTTAAAAAGACGATAGAAAACCTTGCCCAAGTAATGAACTCCCTGAAAAATAGAGTACAGCAAACAGAATTCAGTGATTCTAAGAGACAAAAAGAAATATTAGAATGAAATTAAAAGCCTGAAAAATTACAATAACATGTAAAATATCTACTATTAAAAATAGATGGGGGCAGCTAGGTGTCGCAGTGGATAGAGCACCAGCCCTGAAGTCAGGAGGACCTGAGTTCAAATACGGCCTCAGACCAAACACTTGATTTGTACTAGATGTGTGACCTTGGGCAAGTCACTTAACCCTGATTGCCTCACTTAAAAAAAAAATAGATGAATTGGAAAGCAGGTAAAGGAGGAATAACTAAGAAGCATCTGACTCCCTGAAAACCATGAGCAAAGAAAAAACCTGATCATCTTGTTTTAAGAAATCATAAAAGAAAATTGCTCACATCTATTAGAACCAGAAGACTAGAAGGCTCTGTGTGACATCCACAGAGGAAATGTCAAGCAAAGGAGACAGAGAATAAAGATAAATATAAATATGTAAAAATGTAAAGGCAAATAAATATGAAAACAACCTATTAAAATAACATATAAGCTAAGATTTTTATTAGTACAGGGAAGAAGTCAGATAGCATTGTCCCTCAGAGACATAATCACAGGGCTTAGTGCTGTTTTAAACAGAGATGTAAGAAATCTTGAAACATTTTCTCTTTGATAAGGAGGGACTCCTTAGCATCCTTCCTCATGGGTGCTCTCTAGACCTTAACTGTTGGAGCATGACCTGCTCAGCTGCGAGATGTGACAGTTTAAAAAGGTTTGAGAGACATAGTTTCTGAATAATTTAATCATTTTATTAATAAGGCCAGCAGGTTATTAATAAAAGGATGGTCATTTAGCCCTCTGTCTCAGACCGATGGTTGTGGACTCACAGTTTACTTACCCTTCAAAACAGTAAGTGGTCCATCAAACAGCAATCAAATCTAATTGGTTAAGTGATTGGAGGTGGGCTATATTAAAATGAAGGGCTAAGTATTTCTTGTATTGGGAAAGTAACAATATAACAGCCCACTCATAGTTTAAGACTATTAATTCAAAGAATGCATAGCCCTCCTATGCAAGCCTAAACAGAACACAATGGGTTTCTCCACCCTAGATTAAATTCCTTGCAAGGTTGGGTGGGGTCTGACTAAAATGGGGGAGTCAATGGAATCTCATTATCAGTAATGTCCTTCAAGAAAAGGGAATTTAGAAAAAGGGGAAAGCCTTTGAATCACAACACAGGATCAATCCAGATTTTCTGATAGGGTCACCCATAGTTTATCTCCAAGCATATCACTTGCACCACTGCTGGACATCAAGCACCTTCTGCCTGGTTTAGCTCTCCAGATTCCTCTTAGGGCTTGGGAGAGAAGTTTCACTCTACCCCTAAAGGCAGTCTACATGAGAAATAAGGACACAAAATGGAAGTCAGCCTGGATGGCGCCCCAGCTTCCCTAGCTCCTCCCAGAGGTGTGTCCTCAGTACCAACGAGTTTTACACTGCAGCCATCTGGAAGGTAAGGTTTAGCCATTTTGGAGGAGTGATGCCTCGCTCCCAAACTGCTTTCATCTTCCCGAGGCTGGTTGCTACATCGCCCAGACAATTGTCAAAAACTCGGCCTACCTGTTTCGGTGCTATATGTCTCTGTATTCCCCCTCCTTGTTCTCAATTTATAATCTTGTTTTTCATATTTTATTTTCTACTATGCTTGTACTTCCTTATACTGATGAGTGGGATGTCCCTATTAAGACTTCTCAGTGTAATTAAGGTTTGGGATAAGATAATCCTGAACTTGGAGGTAAGTTCGTGAGGCAGAATACGATAAGTATAGATTTCTATAGTTTCCCCTTCTCCCAGTGTTAAGTCAGTAGTTAAATGTTGCCAAGCCTGAAACTCTGAAACCCCCGTATTCTGTTGTTACATTTCGGTCACGGTGACCTTCCCACAGCAGTGTCTAACTTGAATGCACATTCTAAATGTTTCATTTTGGCAGCAAACTAAGGTGATGGATATGTATATTGTTTCTTTGTTCTCTGTCTCTGGGAACAGATTTTCACGATTAGATTGTAAGCCAAATATTGGAAAGTTGGTGGGAGGGGGAATTTTCTCCATAAGGGCTATTTAATCTGGCTTTTTGCTTCTGTAGTTTGTCTCCTTTCATCAGAAGCATACTGGTGAAGGGACACCTGATTCTCAAGAATTGAAATAAACTTTCTGTTCCTACCTTGAGATACCTCTAAGTGTTTTTTTTTTTTAGGTCACATCCCACACACTGATTTTATGAGGACTTAGTGAGGGTCTCAAGAAACAGGGTCTGGCCAAAGCCCACCACACAGTTTTTCTGTTGAAATCAAGGGTTCTTAATCTTTTTTTGTATCATGTACCCTTTTGGCAGTCTGTTCAAATCAACAAGCATTTATTAGGGAAGGAAATAAACGTTTCTATAATATCCACCATGTACCAGGCACTGATCCTCACAACAACCTATGAAGTAGGTGCTATTATCATCCCCCCTTTTACAGTTGAGGAAACTGAGGGAAACAGGTTAAATGACTTATCCAGGGTCACACAGTCAATACATGTGCGAGGTAATATTTGAACTCAGATCTTCCTGATTCCAGGCCCAGTGTGACACCAGCTGCCTCCAAAAACATTTATTAAGCACTTAACTATGTGCCAGGCACTATACTAAGCACTGGGAATATAAATGCAAGCAAAAAAGAAAGACAGAGAAGGGGATGAGGGAAAGAAAGTACCTGTGCAGGGACATAGTGAAGTCTAGAGAGTCAATTACAGAGCCAGAAGAGGAGTGAAGTGAGTGTGACTGGTTTGAACACTTTCTCAAACTGGAGGTTTGGGGAGGAACTCACCCATTAGAAGAAAGGACCACAGAGGCAAAAGAGTCTTCCAAGGAGAGCCGATCACAGGGACAGAGCCATATTCCTGGTTGAAAAGGCTGCTGGGACATGGTAGAAGATGATAGAGTTTGGAGAATCAGGTGCACAGCTGGAATCTTAAATGAATAAAATAAATTATATGAGATTACAAAAGAAGCATTGTATTGAAATAGAGTTATAAAAATATTTTTTAGAAAACAAATTCACAGGACCCCTGAAATCTCTCCACAGACCCCTTGGAGATCCATGGATCCAGGTTAAGGACCCGTTGTTTAAATGAATCCCTGAGAGATGAGTTTAAGTAGTTCTACCTCTCCAATGCATTAATGTGCTATTTTATTTGTTAGTATAGTTACTTGTCTATGAGTTACAGCCCTTTACTAGATAAGTTACATTAGGTTGAGGGCCTTATTTTGTCTAAGCTTTGAACTTTCCTCAAGAAACTTCTGTTGAAATGGACTAATTTATCCTAAACATAATAATGAAAGAGATTAACTTTAAATATAAATATTTGCCCACCTGAAGTAGATACTGTTAGAATTGCTACTTTCTTTAATATCTATAAAATTAATTTATCATATAAATTAATTGTATAGAAGATTAAAACATTTCCAAATAATGAGATTGACTCTAACAATGATCTATCAAGGATCTCAAATTTCTGACATAGATCATAACTGTCAGTAGTTTAGTAGATAAATAATAAAAGAATTGCCCATGGCTAAAATAGATCAAATTGGGGTAACCAGGTGGCCCAATGGATAGAGCACCTGGCTTGGAGTCAGGAAAACCTCAGACACTTACTAGCTGAGTGACTCTGAGCAAGTCACTCAACTCTGTTTGCCTCAGTTTCCTCATCTGTAAAATAAGTTGGGGAAGGAAATGGCAAACCACTCCAGTATCTTTGCTAAGAAAACCCCAAGTAAGGTCATGAAGAGTTGGAAGGACTGAAACAACTGAACAACAACAAAATAGATCAAATTACTTGCCCATGGCCACAGGGGTTCTGGGTAGAATCAGGTCTTTCTCACTCCAAACCCAGGACTCTCTTCACTAGGTTCCACAGTTTTTCTTAGCCTGGAGAAGGAAGTGAAATTCACAGTATTCTTTGGCATTAATTCTTTAAAGTCATTAAGATATTATTAAAAAATCATCTTATAGTATTTGTAACAAGGTATTGTAATAATATTATGTATTTGTAGAATACTTTTCATTTTTCAAAGTAAGTTCTCATCACATTTTTGTACAATATAACCCTTAGAATTCTCCTAGGTCTAGTAAAAGATTAGGAAAGATCCCATTTTTTCCTGCCAAAAATATCACTCACATTAAAGTTTAAAAAAAAATTCTCAGTTAATGAAATCTGTGCTATCAAACTATGCAGTAGGAGGGTAAGAAAGAATGCTCTAATTCAGGGGGTTTTAATTTTTTGTGTGTCTTGGACTCCTTTGTCAGTCTAGTAAAATCTATGAACTCATCAGATTGATATTTTTAGATACATAAGATAAAATACATTGGATTACAAAGGAAATTAGTTACATTGAAATGCTTATGAAAGTATTTTTTGAAGTTTTTTTTATGGAAAAAAAAACAAAACCTCATCCAAGTTCATAGACCCCCTTTGAGTCTGGGCCCTACATTAAGAACCCCTGCTTTAAGTAGAAAAAGAGAGAGAAGACTGAAAAGAAAATAAGTCTGTGCAAGAAGAAGATAACAGGAAAAATGAGACAGACATTGTACATCATTTATTTTGTTGTGTTTGATACAGGATACACAGCCCATTCTTTTATGTCTTCTAATCTGCTGAATGCTGTACACAGTCTTGCTTTCTAGGAAAATGAGTCTTCACCATTCCTTACTGTTATAAGGAATCTCTGCATAATGATAGTATCTAAACAGAAAAAAAAAGTTCCTGATATATAAAATTTGAGAATTTTTCCCTTTCCCTTAAAAAATTTTGTAAAGCCTGCTTAAAACCTTGATGCTTGAGTATTACACGTACATCATAGGTTTTCCATGCTCCCTATATATATATATATATATATATGTATATATAAATTTTATCAAGAAAGAAGAGGTGATTTATTATAAGAGTGCTGGATTGACCACAAAGAAAACAATCAGTCCAGAATGTCAAAAAGGTCCATGGCTGCAACTAAGTGAATAGATTTCAGGCAAGCAGACCTTGCATTAAAAGATGAAATGCTCTTTGACAGGAAAAAGTCAAATGATGATAATGGTCCTTTATGAGATGGTAGAGAGGAATTCTAGATCAGGTGAGAGAGTTGGTATAGCTCTCCATAGGGTGATGTCTTCTGAAGGTTTCAGCCAGATGGGATCAAAGATCTGGCATTCTATCTATAATTATATGGCAGGACCATTGCTAGCTGTCCAGACACATGTCTTGCCACTGGACTCCAATGACTCTGGAGGAGAGGATAAGGCTAATGACTTTGCCCAGCTCTGCCTCACTTAAATTCAATTCACTTGCAAGTCAAAACATCACCCTCCTGATGTCATTGGTCATCTTCAAGAAAGAAGGATGAACAACAATCTATGCCCCATGCCTTTGTGTTTGGGGCCATTGTCACCATTAAAAGCAGAACAGAAAAAGGAGAAAAGCAATGATAATTGTTACTACTAAAGTTCTGATGGACAAGGAATGTGCATGTGAACATGTTTCAGGAGTGGGGGTGGAGAGTGACCTGGCTTCTAGGGCAATCATCAAGGGATTTGGGCATTCTCTGAAGCTACTCTGGGGTGGTTTAGTACTGTGGGACTAAGACTAGATGATCTAATAAAACAGAAAAGTATCTTACACACTGAATTAGGACATTGCTCACTGAAGTCTTGCAGAGCATGTCTGCTCCATGCAGTCAGTACTCTCAAGCCTGTGGGGATAAGAAGACTGGTGCTTAATCTGTCTTCTAAAGCTATCACAGTCTGGGTCCATTCTACTTGATTCATTACCTGTAATCCATTCCTACAGTCTCCCAAGCAGTCTTATCTCCTGCTGCTACTATGGGTCCTCCATATTTACTGACCTTGAGTCCAGCAAATTATCTTAGTTGAACCACAGCAAGGTTACTTCAAACTGAAATCCATCCCAGATATCTCTAGAGGCTTTTGACCTGAAAGGATTCTTATACTAGGTTATCTGGGGATCCCAGAACCTGGTCTTATAGACCCTGGGAAAATAGTTCCTCATGATATCATACAGACTATTGTCAAAGTATTGTTAAGGTAAATGTGGATTGGGCAAATAAAAAACAACTGTGCATCACTGTGGGATCATTACCTATCATGTTCACTGTATTTTGCCTTGCCATCTCAGTAGTTTTCCCATCTTCTCCCCTGTTCTCTATTACTCAGGCCAAAGAGAAAACATCTGGAAAAAGGATCCAATAACCTTAGATATCTCCTTATCCTTTTCCCTAACTTCCTGGGCTTTGTCCAAAATCGTTGTTGAGGATTGCCTAAGTAGAGTACAGGCTAACCTAGTTGCAGAAACACATTTATTTTTTCCAATCTTTTTACTTTGTTTTATAATATTTCTTGTTGTTTTATGGAGTTATTGACTTCCATTTGGCTCATTCTAATTTTTAGGGAGTTGGTTGCTTGAATAAGTGTTGATATCTCTTATGCTTATCAGTGAATTCCCTTTTCAATTCTTCCATAGCTCTTATTTTCTCCCCAATTCTTTCTTCTTATTCTGGGTTTGTGTCTTGAATATTCCTGGCACCATAATAGTTGTTTTTGTTTTTAATGGTGAGAATTTTTTTTGTTTGTTTGCTCATTCTTCCTGCCGACTTCCTGACTTCAGACTCTATTTTAGGGCCAGACTCTGCATACTTCTGTAGGGAATGTGTGGGCTGGTCCTAATGATGGGGAAGGGATCTGGACCCCAAAAAGGAAAAGTCCTTGAACTTTCTCACAAATTTCAGCATTGAGGGTTAGTGGGAAAGTTCAGGGGCTTTTCCTTTTTGGAGTCCAGATCCCAAAGACAGGGTCTTTTTAGGGGTTCAGATCTTATCCCCATCACTGCTACCTTCTTAAGGTACTGAGTGTTGAGTTGCTCCACGACCTGTTCATATCCTTGTACCACAAAACCTACAGGGGAATGGCTTTTGGTCTGATGCAAGGTAGCTCCAAAGCTACTGAAGCTTTAAACTGCAGTGAGACTTTTGGGCCACCCTCTATATATTTCTGATAAATTGTCTAAATATCTTGTATCAATTTTTTTCTGAGCTATTTAATACAATTCTCCTCTCTCCCTCCTCCTCAATCAGCTTCCCTTCCTATTCTATATGCATTAATTTTGTTCATGCAAAAACTTTTCAATTTCATGTAATACACATTATCTAGCCTACCTTTTGTCATATCCCTATTTTGGTTAAGAATTTCCTGCGTAGCCACGCCCACTTCTCTAGTTAACCTACCCTAGGATCCAGTCATCCGCTGTTTTCGCCTTGGGATTGGCTGAGACGTCGAGATATTTCCACCAATCACCTTGGTTTTCTAAAGCCTTGGGGCCGGAAGGACCAATGGGTATCAAGATTACTTGTTGTCTCTCGGATACGAGTTTAAACGGTCCGCGCCCACCTCTGCTGGTGACAAAGGGAAGAGCGGTTGACCGCGTCGTTTTTGTAGAAGTCGCTCTTTACTTCGTAGTTTTGTTTTGTTTTGTTCTGTTTGTTTATATCTAAATCTATTTTATTTCCCTGAGCATCTCTAGCCCTGGCGTGTGTCAGAGAGAGTGAGGGATCGGAGGTCACGTCCACACCGACCCTGACATCGAGGTGACCTAGCCAGCCTCCTACATCTTCTCTGCACCCGACGTTCCTTGTAAAGCTCTCTCTCCCCCGGTCCTTGTTCCCTTTCCTTTGACCCCGGGGATTCTGTGGAGCCCCCACCTTCTCCCTGACCGCCCTTTATTCCCCTGCCCTCTGCCCCCACCCCAGCTGTGATTCTCCCGTCAGCCACCTGTTTACTGTCTTTTACGGACACCACCCCCCACACCCTCAGTTTCTGGGGATTACCAACTAGGCCTCCATTCCTTTCCTTGTGGCTCTCATCCCCCGGCCTTTGAGACCATGTCTCTTCCAGCAGGCCAAATGAGATTAATGCACTTGATGGACTTGCTCATTGCTTCATACGAAGCAATATGGCATTAAAAAAAAAATTACTTCTATCAACCCTACCCCCTTATTCCATATACCTTTCAGTCCACCCAATTCTAGTTCATACATTTTCTACTTTCTTTATCAATCTAGGCTCTTTCATTTGCCTATTACCTTTCCCGTCATCCCCATTCATTTCATCTCACATCCTTGTCTCATTCCTGTAGATGTTAACTCAATATGCAGTTTAGCCTTAATTCTTCGCCCCCCACCCCAGTCCAAAGACTTGGATTCAAATCCCACCTCTGACACCTACTACCTGTGTAACCTTGGGCAGCTCACATAATCTCTCTGGGCCTCATTTTCCTCACTGGTAAAATGAGGAGGTTAAACAGATGATGTATGATATCCCTTCCAGTTCTATATCCGTGCCCCTGTCTATTAAATGTATGAGATAACAGGTAATAAGCAAGATGGCCTGGACAATTGAAGGACTGAAGGGAAGGACTTAGCCCTAATTCTTTCTCATTTGAGACTGCTCTTTATTTGTTTTCCTCCATAAAGTACTGTTAGATTTTCATTTAACATAGGCTTTGAAAATCTCATTCTTCTTGCTTCAGCAAAGAAGCATTCTTTTCACTTCAGCTAACATTCTCAACATATCCTGTGTTGTCTTGTTGAAAGCTATTAATAAAGACAACTATATTTGAACACACAGTAAAAAAGAGAGACCAGTTGTGTTATGTTTTGATTAGAATCAAGCCCTCTTTGTTCCACTTCACTTTCCTCCTTTTCATTCTCCAAGTACACTTGATCCTAGGAATCCCCCCCTCATCTTAGGGTTACTTGAGTGATAGGAAGTTAGTCTTGGAAGAAAGTTTATGAATACTTAATCATCAAAGATTTTGATCTGTTTAAATTTTAGTGATTCATAGTATAACCTGGACCTGCAGCCAATTTGGGAAGATCTTTTTATTTGAAAAATAGTGAGGGAGGGAAGAGGGATGGAGGAGATGGCATAGTTTTGTTTTAGAAATTTTGATGAACTTTGTTTTCTTTTAAAAAATAACTTGATATGTATAATTATTGATGGCTATATATCCTTTCCTAAAGATGGGTGCAAGGATTCCCTAAGCAGAATATTGATTTTATCAACGACAACACACTTTGCTATGCTTGTGGGAATTACTTAATTTTCATTAACATTGAAAATGAGAAAAAGTGTGTTCTACAGTGTGTGAATGGAAAAGTGGGTGTTCTGGCAACTAACATTCCTTTCCAAGTGGTGGCTTTTTCAGATCGCAGTCTTAAACCCGCTATCTACATATACACCTTTCCTGAATTGTCCAGAAAGGCAAAATTAAAAGGTATTTCCTCCTTCTCCTATAATTAGAATAATTTATTATAAAAACATAACACATGCTTTTAGTTCTGAATAGGAAATATTTAAGAAAGTATATACTTAGAGATTGGATGAGGGCAGTAAGAATTAATTAGTGGGTTGGAGAGCTGAATCAGAATCTTAAGTTCAGTTGGAATTTTTCTTCACAGTGGCAATGTTTCTGTTAAGATCAAATTTAGGTTGAATAATTACAACTAATAAACTACTATTCATGTAGCTGTCTAAAACTACTGATAAAAAGTAATGGTTACAAGTGGTGATTGTAATCCCAGCTACTTAGAGGCTGAGGTTTGATCTCTTTAGTTTAGGAGTTCTGAGCTGCAGAGGATTAAGCTGATCACCTGTCCAAAATAAGTTCAGGACCATGAATATGGTGAACTCCCAGGAACTTGTGGTCACTAGGTCACTAGGCAAGGGGAAAATGGCCCAGATCTGAAATGGAACAGGACTAAACTGTGCTGATAGGAGTGGAGAAAAATATCCTGAATACTTAATTCAGTCACTTGACTTTTGAGTATTTTTTTAAGTTTTCTTTTTAAAATTAAATGTTTTCAATTTACAAGCATTTATTTTCTGGCATTCATCACCCTCTGGGGGGAAAAAGAAGAAAAAACAAACCCTTGTAAGAAAAATGTATAGACAAGCAAAACCAATTCTGAAATCACACTATGCCACAAGAGAAAATTTCTATGAATTCTCTCCAAACTTTATAAGGTTATGTACAGTGATGTGATAAAAGCTAGTTTCCACAATGCAAAAGCTATACTTTTCTTGCATTCTGTATGCTGGCCGTAAGCAGCCTCAACTTGGGAGACAGACAGGTACACTTCTTGGGGCAAATGGTTGAAACTACTGCTTTCTTGGCCCCATACTTCAACTGTACTACCTTGCTGTGCTAGATGGTACTAATTTCAGAAAAAGTCAATTGAGTTTTACATAATTTAAAATAAAAGGCAGTTTTTAATTAAAAATTTTTTGCAATATAACTTTATTCATTTGTTGATAAGCTATTCAGTGGGGCAGCTACATGGTGCAGTGGATAGAACACCAGGCTAGAGTCAGGAAGAATCATCTTTTTGAGTTAAAAGCTGGTCTTACACACTTACTAGCTAGTCACTTACCCTCAATTTCTTCATCTGTAAAATAAGATGGAGAAAAAATGGCAAACCACTTTAGTGTCTTTGTGAAGAAAGCCCCAAATGGGTTCATGTGTCAGACACAACTGAACAACAGCCTATTCAATAAAGATACATAAACACACACACACACACACACACACATATATATATATATATATATAGCCTTTTGGGAAAAGGTGATAATAAATAGGAGGAGAAAGAGAAAGGCAGATCCTGACAGAAACATATATAAAATGAGGGGATGATGGATATGAAATACAGAGATAGAAAAACAGAGACACACGAAAGAGGAGATAGTGACCCCAAAACAAAAAGAAATAGGCACACAGAGACCTTAATAAAGACGCCATCTCCATGTTTTGGTCTTTTAGGGTATTTTTGCTAACACTTTTAAAGTCAAATATTTTTACAAGCTGAGACACAGATGGACAACATAGATTTAGAACAGGAAGGAGAGGAGAAAGGGGAAAGGAATAAACGTTTATTAAGTGCTTAGTATGTGCTAGGCACTGTGGTAAGTGCTTTACAAATGCTATTTCATTTGATAGGAACCATCAATGCCTCCTAGTCCAACCCCTCATTTTTCAGATGAAACTTTTCTGAAGCTCAGATTAAGTTCCATATGCTCACAGCTAGTAAACTTATAGCAAAATGGTGGGAAGGAAACCAAGGGCTTGCAGACCCCAAAACCAACACACTTATCTATTATGTGATGCTCTTGAGTACTTTCTACTTGTCTTGAAAGTGTTAGAAAATTAAGCTGAAGGTTAAATATGACCTGAGGGACTTGTGATTATATATCCCTTATGTAAAAATACCATAGGAAGTAAGCTAAATTTTTAAAAAAATGAAGCAAATCTAAATTTAAGATCATTATAACTTTGTCAATGATGTTTGGGAGTGGTTTCCAGACTAGTTAAAGTTCTGAAATCATCAGAAATATATGATATAAAGGATTAATTTTGCACTGAGAACTAGAAAATATGATTTAATATTTTTTTTCATCTCTAGGTTCTAAAGTTCATAACTTTTTAAAAAGTTTTACTCAGAATGAGTAAATGGGGAAAAACTTAAGGAATACATTAGAAGAGATGTATATGACTGATGACAAAGCAATTAGAAAAAGGAAATGAACTCTTTTATCAGTGGTTAATTTAAAGACTGATAACTAAAATAGATGTAATTTTCTGCATTAGGGCATGCTCAGCTGGACTATACTTTACTTGGATTTAGTTATTGTGGTACATATCTGGCTAGTTACTCTGCAGTTCCAGAGTATGAATTGACACTTTGGTAAGTTTAAGCATTTGCACATTTTTGTTTTAGTAAACGGAAACTTTGTGTAAATATTTTCTAATATTTTTCATTTAAGGTTAAATATATTTCTAAAGTTTATTATTCATCAGAAGAGATTTCACCTTAATGTTTTAAGCTACTATTTAGAGAATGAAACATTTTAATCTAAGTTTAAAAAGCCACCTATGTGAACTTCTTGAAGACTTGACTTTTTAGATGGGCTTTTAAACTATTTTCTTCGAACATTGCCATTAAAGGGACATGGGAGACATGGGAAGTATCATTCAGCATGTCAGAGTTTACATTTTCAGTTTAGGAGTGATATCACTGTTGTCATGGACAAACACCGAACCATACTAAATGGATCGTATTGTGCTGAAATCTGGGAATAACAAGAATGTGTAAGATAGTCTCTAGTTCCAAAGACTTAACAATTTATTTGGGGTGATAAGACACATGTATAAAAAGATGCAGTGGTTCTTAAAATTGTCAGAATCTTTCTTTTTTGTCTTCTACTATAGCAGAGTCCCAACAATAAATATTAGTTAACATAATTCATTACTGAAGAGCAAACCTTAATAAGATTTAGTATAAGAGGGAACTTGAAGAATGCGTTTTTTTATTAATTGTAGTAGAGCCTTGTACATAGTAAGTGTTCAATATAATGTGTTGAATAAATAATGAATAAATTCATCTTAAAATTATGATGATCTGATAAAAATAAATGAAAGGCCAATTGACACCAACTAGTATCTTGTCATAATAGTGATAGTGATCTTACAAAAATATGCAATATTTATACGAACATTTTAAAACATAAACATATTAACAAATTGGTCTCATTTCTGCAACATTTTGTTCCCAGTCTCTGGGCTTTTGGGTTGCCAATGTGAAGAATATGGTATGACTGATACTCACAATGGAAATTAATAAGTTTTATGGACTAGCTTTGGCCATATATATTTCAAATGTCATTTTATTGTTCATGTAGCATACATTTGTTTAATATATTCATGTTTTAAAATTTATTCTTACAGTCAGTCCAAAAGTATATATGTCACATTATTTGACAAATTTTCCATAAAAACTAAACTGTAGTATAATTATATTATACACAAGATTTTTTTTCTTTATAAGGAACTGGGAAAAAAAGGTTATTTTGTGTAGCAGATTACAACCAGGTGTGGAAGTAAGCCAGATGACTTTTAATCCCATGAACTGGCACCAATTGTGTCTGTCTAGTGCAAGTGCTTTGACTATATGGAATATTGAAAGAAGTGACAAGAATTATAATCTCAAGCCAAAGTAAGTAACATTAAAACATGGAAATAAAATGATATCATTTCTTTGCATCACTTCACAATGAACCATGTCATTGTCAATGATTTTTGAACTTAATTTTCTGAGCTTATTTTTTTATTCATATAAAATTAAGAATTAATTACAATTTATATAAGAATATAAATCTTAAACATGCAATCAAAATAACACAACATACATATATTTATATATTCAGTCCTTGGCAGTTTTCATTTCTATTGTATAAAAGTAATAACCATGATATTATTAATGTGATAGGCTTGTTTTGAGGTACAAAGTTTCTTAAAATTTGGTGCCATTGATGATATCATTATGCATTCTTTTTCAACCACTAATTCAGATCCATGTTTTGTCTTAGAACAGCTTCAGTAGAAAATCTTGTTTCACAGAAAAAATGGTTTTAAAAAATCTGTATCACTTAATAAACCAGAGGACTCAGTTTACTTGTAGCCAAAACATAAAATGTTCAGGTCCAAATATATATATTTTATTTTTGGTGAGGCAGTCAGGCTTAAGTGACTTGCCCAGGGTCACACAGCTAGTAAGTGTCAAGTATCTGAGGTCGAATTTGAACTCAGGTCCTCCTGACTCCAAGGCCAGAGCTCTATCCACTGTGCCACCTATCTGTCCCCCCTAATATTTCTTTTTAATATAACAAGACCAATCAATTTATTAACTATCCTTAGAAAAATGGAGGAAGACCAAATGTATTGTATTTTCCCCGTGTAAATGACTTCCTTATCTATTTGCATTTAGAAGTATCTAAGTCTTATAAACAAATGAGGAGAGCAAGGAATAGTTTACCTGTCAGATCTATGGAGAATGGAAGAATTTATGACCAAACCAGAGATAAGAGAACATTATGAAATATAAAGTGGATAATTTTGATTACATTAAATTCAAAATTTTTTGTACAAACAAAGCCAATGTAATCAAAATTAGAAGGGAAGCAGAAAGCTGGGAAATAATTTTTACAGCCAGTGTTGCTGATAAAGGCTTCATTTCTAAAATATATAGAGAGCTGAGTCAAAGGTATAACAATAAAAGTCATTCCCTAGTTGATAAATGGTCAAAGGATATGAATGGGCAGTTTTCAGATGAAGAAATTAAAGCTATCTATAGTCATATGAAAAAATGCTCAAAAACAGTATTGATTAGAGAAATGCAAATCAAAATGATTCTGAGGTACCACATCACACCTATCAGATTGGCAAACATGACAAAGCAGGAAAATGATAAATGTTGGAGAAGATGTGGGAAAATTGGAACACTAATGCATTGTTGGTGGAGTTGTAAACTGATCCAACCATTCTGGAGAGCAATTTGGAACTATGCCCAAAGAGCTATAAAACTCTGCATACCCTTTGATTCAGCAATATCACTACTAAGTCTGTATCCCAAAAAGATCATAAAAAAGGGAAAAGGACCCATATGTACAAAAATATTTATAGCAGCTCTTTTTGTGGTGGCAAAGAATTGGAAATTGAGGGAATGCCCATCAATTGGGGAATGGCTGAACAAGCTGTGGTAAATGAATGTAGTGGAATACTATTGTGCTATAAGAAATGATGAGCAGGTAGATTTCAGAAAAACCTGGAAAGACTTAGATGAACTGATGCTGAGTGAAGTGAGCAGAACCAGGAGAACATTGTACACAGTAACAGTAACATTGTATGATGACCAGCTTAGATAGACTTGGCTCTTCTTAGCAACACAAGGATCCAAGACAATTTCAAAAGACTCATGATGGAAAATGCTGTCCATATATAGAGAAAGAACTGTGGAGTCTGAATGCAGATAAAAACATACTATTTTCTCTCTTTTTTTCTTCCTTATGGTTTTTCCTTTTTGTTCTGATTCTTCTTTCACAACATGACTAAGGTGGAAACATGTTAAATGTGATTGTATATTTATAGCCTATATCAGATTGCATGCCATCTTAGAGGATAGGGGAAGGAGGGGGAAAATTTTAGGACTCATGCTTTTATTGAAGTGAATGTCAAAAACTAAAAATAAATAAAAATTTTTTAAAAAGAAATATCTAGGTCTTTAAAATAAAATGGGAATTGGTTCTTTAGATTGGTCAGTTGATTAATAAACAGGTCTATTCTACTTGTTTTTGTAGGGCAGGTATTTGAAAATTTATTAAACATATCAAAATATTATCCATAATTCAAGCTTTTCTGTAAATATAGTCTCTTTACCTTTCTGGATCAGAAGATCAGTTTGATCATTATGCATTGATTACTCAGTTTTCCAAAAATATTGACCAAATTCATAAATTTCAGGAGGAAATTTGTTACAAAATGAATTTATTTAATTTGTTTAATCTTTATTATCCTCACAAAGAAAAATTCAATTTCTTTTAGCTCAAACACCCTTTTATGTACTTAACCATGAAAAATCCATTGTGTTTACAATAATGTAGAAGTCTGCTATATTCTACTTTCATAGTGTTACATGTTTTTACAAGGGGCCTTCCTTTTAATGGACTGTTTATTTTATTCTGTTTTCATTAATGTCTTTTGTCTTTACATCACATTGACTTCCAATATATCCCTCTCCCAATGGAAAATGCTTTTTGACTTTGGTGTCAGAGGTTCTGGGTTCAACTGCCACCTTAGATTACTTAGTACCTGTATAATTTTGGGCATATCTTCCATGGCCCCTAGTTTTCTCATCTATAAAATGAAATTGTTGGTCTAAATTAAATGACCTTTGAGGTTCCTTTTAGTTCTAAATCTGTAACTCTATAGTGTAAGATATTGTGCTGGGAGGGCTCCTTCCCTCCAAATTTTTTTTTCCCATGATTTCCCATGAGATTGCCCAAATTTTGTGCCTCCAGATAAATTTTGTTATTATTTTGTCTAATTCTATAAAGTAACCCTTTGCTAGATTTATTAGTATAAAACTAAATCTATTAATTAATTTAGGTAGTATTATCATTTTGATTATATTGATATGACCTATGAGTAGTTGCTATCTATCTAACTAGTTAAATCTTTTTTCTGTAAAATATTTTGTGGTATAAATATAATTCTTGTGTATATTTCTAGATGAAATCCTTTCATACATTTCTGTACTTATTTTGAATGGAATTTCTTTTTCTATCTGTTTCTACTGTGTTTTGTTAGTATATAAAAAGGTTAATGATTTTTATGGGTTTATTTTATATCCTGGTACTTTATTGTAGTTGTTGTTTCAACTCATATTTTGGTGGCATTTCTGAGGTCCTCTAAAAGTAGAAGGGCAGGATAGATGGAATGCTGAACTTGAATGAGAAAGATGTGTTTAACTCCTACCTTAGATATTTTACTAGCCACACAACCCTGGCCAACTCGCAGCCTCTCTCAGCCTTGATTTCATGAACTATAAATTGGGGATAATTTTAGCATCTACTTACCAGGGCTGTTTTGAGGGTCAAATGGGATAACGTGTGAAGCACTTTGCAAACCTTAAGACACTGTATAAATGGTAGCTTTCCATCATATCATCCTCAAAAAGTGTTTCTTCTTTGCCTCTGCTTATCAGTCAGTCAACAAGCTTTTATTATATGTTCATTATGTGGAAAATGTTGTGGTAAGGCATAGGGAAAATAGTCATTGTCCTCAATAAGCTTATATTCTAAAAAGGGAGACAAACATGAAAATAACTAGGTATATACAGGTATATGCAGAATATACAGATATATAGAAGTTAAATATCATAGATGAAGACCCTAGCAGCTGAGAAAGAAAATGGAATTTGAGTTGGGGCTTGAAGGAAGCCAGAGAAACTTAGAGGTAAATGTAGAGAACTTCTCCTTGCTAGGAATAACCAATGCAAAGGCAAGGAAACTATTGTGGTTAGATAATAGAGTTAGGGAGGAGAATACAGTATAAAATATTGAAAATGTAAGGATCCAAATTGTAAAAAGCAAAAACAAAAACTCAACAGAAGAGTTTATATTTGAATCTAGAAGTAATATGGAGCCACTGGAGTTTAATTGAGTCTGGGAGTGACAAACTTAGATGTTTACTTTAGGAACTGAGTGGAGGATTGATTGGCATGGAGGGAGACAGGGAAACAGAGAAATCAACTGGCGAGTTACTTCAATAGTCTATACAAGGGGTGATGAAGTCCTGAACTAGACTGGTGGCTATGTGAGAGGAGAGAAGGGGCCTATACAAACGATGTGGTGAAGATAGAAACAGGATTTGACAATAGATTAGATATGTGAGGGGAGTTCAGTGAGGAGTCAAAGATGACACCAATGTTGGGAGCTTGGGTAACTGGGAGGTTAATGATGCCCTTAAGAGTCCTAGGAGAGTTCATAAGAGGGAAGGGTTTAGGGTAAAGACAATTGCGTTTTGGACTTGTTGAGTTAGAGATTCCTTTGAGACATCCAGTTCAAGATTCTCGGGCTGGATATATAGATCTAATAATCATTTGCATAGTGATGATATTGAAGTAATGGGAGCTGATGACCTCACTAAGTGAGATAATATAAAGCAAAAGGAGAGGTGTACTTAGGACAGAACCTTGAGGGACACCTAGAGTTTGTAGGCAAGACAGATAAAGAATCAACAGAGGAAAAAGAGAAAAAGCAATCAGATAGGTAGTAGGAAAACCAGGAGAGCAGGGTCACAAAAACCTACAGAAGAGAAAATATCCAGGAGATTGTAGTCAGCAGTGCAAAGGTCAAGAAAGATGAAGATTTAGAAAAGACCATCAGATTTGGCAATTAAGATATTATTGGTAACTTTGGAGAGGGGAGTTTCACTTGAATTATGAGGTCAGAAGTCAGATTATAGAGGGCTAAGAATAGAGATTTTACCTGAGAAGGAGGAGAGATATAGGATGATGGCCAGCAGGAATAGTTGGATCAAATGAGACTTTTTTAAGGATGGGGGAGACATGAACATATTTTTTGGCAACAGAGAAGGAGCCAATAGATAGGAAGGGAATGAAGTCTAGAGAGAGAGAGAGAGAGAGAGAGAGAGAGAGAGAGAGAGAGAGAGATTGGGGATGATGTCATGGTAATCTTCTGGAGAAGATGGGGAAGGGGTGGAATCAAGGGTACATGTATAGGGGTGGAGGAAGGGGAAGGGAATAAGCATTTATATAATGCCTACTTTGTGCCAGGTACTGTTCTAAGTGCTTTTTACAAATATCTCATTTGATCCTCGCAACAACCATGCAAGATAGGTGTTGTTATCCCCATTTTACAGTTGAGGTAACTCAACCTTGTCAAGGTTGGCCTTGATGAGCAGAAAGGCTACCCCTTCATGCCAGACCAGAGTGTAGTAGGAGATTGTGAGGCTATCTGATAGATGTGAGATGAGGAGGAGAGGAGAAATGGGATTTCTTGGAGAATGGCTTTACCTTTTCAGTGAAGTTTCAGGTGAGGTCTTATCTGAGAGGGTGAAGTGTGGGGGGCTTTGGAAAATTTGAGGATAGATTTAGATTAATTGCTATGGAGAGTGTGATAGCAAATTGATTAGGAAGGAAGGAGGAGGAGGAAGAAAAGGAAGGAAGGAAGGAAGGAAGGAAGGAAGGAAGGAAGGAAGGAAGGGAATACTACCTGCCAGGTACTGTGCTAAGCACTTTACAAATATTTTGATCATTTGATCCTTACAACAATCCTGGGAGATAGGTGCTGTTATTACCCCCTTTTGATAGTTGAAGAAACTGAGGCAGAAGTTAAATGATTTGTCTCTGGTCACATAGCTAGTAAGTGTCTTGAGGCTAGATTTGAACTCAGCTCTTCCTGATTCCAGGCCCAGTGCTTTATCTACTCTGGAGGAGCAGAATGATTGTCTTGCTACAGTGACTGGTCTCATTGCTAGTGGATTACATAAATTCGTAATGAATCTATGTAGTTTTGTGATTTTTTTCAGGCTCCATTCAACAGCCCATGAGTCATAGTAAAGTAGGTGTGTGGTGGAGATGATCCTTACTTTACTCTGTATCTGCTATTCTGCCTGGTTTCAACTCCATGGAACAAGATGCCCCAGGTGCTGAGTACTCCCTGGTCTTTACTTGTCTCCCCTCCCTCTCCTGCTTCCCTTTGTGTTTTGTCTCTCCCAATTAGATTGAAAATTTCTTGAGGGAAGGGACTGTCCTTTTAGAAAAATTAAGTGTTTAACACAGTGCCTAATAAACGTTTATCAGATTGGTTTGGATTCTGGGTTAGCATTTGGCAAGGTGTGATTGGTGATAAAACAAATATAGAGTTTGCAACTGGTAGAGTTCTTTAGATCTTTTTCCATACAGGAAAGTATAAAGCACATACAACTGTTTCATTAGTCATTGGCCTACTTATAGAAGCAAGGAGTAAAGAGGACTGAGGAGAAAAGAAAAACTAATTGAGTTCTGCTTTCAAAAACTTTGAGTGTATTAGCATTCTCTTAAGTATGAAACTTTTCTGAAAATATCAATTTCAAGGAAAAAGAAGTCAAAGATTTCATAGCATTAAAGAGAGGGCCATTTTATCCCCAAGGCATCTTTAAACTTTGAATAGAATGTTAGCAAAGGCATAGGTTTTTATCATCTTCAATTCTGTTTAGACATTTAGACACCCAGATTCTTGGGCTCTTGAACTCCAAAGTTCACTTAATCAATGACAATCTTTTGTCATTCCATCGTTTCCTATTTTTGTGACTCTTGATATTCATTCATTCCATCCTTTAGTTATTTCCTAGGCCATCAATCCTGCCCTTACTATATTCTCTTCCTTTCTCTATCTTGATGCCATCATGATATACAAAAATAGTTAAGATAGAATAATTTTTTACTCACATGGCTGTCACTATGGTTCATACCCTTATCACTTTTTACCTAGACAAGTCACTTTCTAATCAGTCTCCCTGTTTCTAGTCTCTTCCAACTATAATTTATCTTCTATATGTCTTCCAAAAATCATCTTTCATAGGTCTGACCATGTCACTCTAACACTAATCCTAATCCTAACCCTTGCTCAAACTTCTTCAGTGGCTTCTATTGCCACTGGGATAAAATGCAAACTTCTCAGCCTGGCATTTAAGATTTATTATCTTAATTTTTTTCTAATTTTCCCAGTTGTTAAAGTTCTCTCTTGTCAAATTGTGTTATATTTTCTTATCCATATGTTGTAACCTGCAGTAGAATGTAAATTCCTTGAAGTTAAAGACTATTTCATTTTTTTCTTTGTATCTTTAATGCTTTGAACCATGCCTTGTACACATTAGGTGCTTAATAAATGTCTGTTGAGCTACTCTTTTCTTAAAATTCTGTTTTTTTAGTTACAAATTCTTTCTTTCCCACATCTCACTTCCCATCCCCACTGAGAAAGTAACCAGAAACTCCCTACAGGCACGTATAGTCAAAACAAATTCCCACGTTTGTCATGTCAAAAAACAAACAAACAAACCCAAATGCCTCAATTTGTATTCTAAGTTCATCACCTTCCTCTCAAGGGAGGAGGCAGCATGTTTCATCATGAGTCCTCTAGAGTTGCAGTTGGTTCTTATGTTGATCTGAGTTCTTAAGTAAAGTTGTTTGTCTTTATAATGTTATTGTTATTGTATAAATTGTTTTCCTGGTTCTCACTTCACTATGCATTAGTTTGTACAAGTCTTCAGAGGTTTTTCTGAAATCATTCCTTTCATCATTTCTTTCATTTCACAATTATATTCGTTCACATTCATACACCTTAACTTGTTCAGCCATTCTCTAATTGATGGGTACTCCCCCACATTTACTTTTTGAAGATGACTTTTTTTTTTTTTTTTTTTTTGCAAAATGCCGCTTCAGAACCTTCAGAAAAGCTGAAGTAGTTTCTGGGGAGAGCTAAGCTAACCGGTTTAGAAATAAACTTTGTTGGTCACATTCTGAATTGCAAATTTGAAACTGAACATTCTGGTAAAAATTCAAGTCTTTATGAACTTGAAAAGTAGATATACTAGTCAACTTAATAGGACTGTCTAGATTACTTCTCTCATAGCCTTGAAAATTCTCTTTGTCTAATTCATAACTGTGATTTATAGATTCTTTTATAATTTATATAGGAACTAGCCAAAAGGATGCATTTTATTGTTTTAAGACATATAAAAATTAGGCTATACATGATTATTTTCCATTAATGATATTTTTGCTTTATGTAATGGTTCTTTCTCTTTCTTTAGATCAGTAAAACTACCTGCAGAAGATGGGACATGTATTGATGAAACAGATGGAATGTTCTCTTACACAGAGCCTAAAGATACCGTTTATGGACCTGCACTACTAGTTTCTTCCATTGCTGGGCTAGTTGGTGTAGAAGCAGAAACATTCAAGGTAATTACAACTTTATTCTAGATTATCCAGCCAATGCTATATTGTACTTGGCTTGGCACAGAAAAATTGTGCTTATCCTAGAAGTTGAGTTATAAGGATATGGTCAAACATAGGAAATTACTGAGGCATGGAAGATTACTATTAATATTTCAGTATAATTCTTTAGATGCAATTTAACTCAACAAATATTTATAAAGAACATATAGTTAGAGCATTGTGCTAGGAGGAGAGGGAAATAGGATATGATCTCTCTTTTCATAGTGCTTATACATATTCCTGACCAACTCTATTATTTTTACCAGTTTATTCTATAAAATGGGGATGATAAATCTGCACTAGCTAACTCATGGGACTGTTGTGAGGCTCATAATTAACTAAAAGATGCGAAAATGCTTTTGAATGTCAAAAAGCACCAAGTAAATGAGGTTTAAACAAACTAGTTTGGGATATGGCAACATAACCTATGGTTTAAGATTAGAAGGACCCCTTCCTTGGACATTCTCGAGCAGAGGATGAACACTCATTTCTCAGGTTTTTTTATGGTGGAGATTCTTTTTGTGAATGGGTTGGCCTTAGTGATTGATGAGGTGCCTTCCAACTCTCAAATTTTCTGGGAAATTGACTCAAAGAAACTTAATTTATATATATTCCTTAATATTGGATGAGTATTTCCCCTTTTGAGAGAATAATACACTTTTGTAATCACAATGCGGTCATAGTAAATGTCATCTTACCTTAAGATTATTACATTCTTTTCTTTTTCTCTTTCTTTTTAAAAAAAGCTTCACTAACTAGAATTTCTTCATTATATTAGTCATCTGAAAAGCCTTGAGGGAAGTAAAGGTACATAGGACAAGAGGACAGATAGGACAAATTAAAAAAATTTTTTTTAAATAATATTTTTTCCAAATTATATGTCAAGACAATTTTTAGCATTCTTTTTTTTTTTTTTTTTTAGTGAGGCAATTGGGGTTAAGTGACTTGCCCAGAGTCACACAGCTAGGAAGTATTATATGTCTGAGGCCGGATTTGAACTCAGGTCCTCCTGACTCCAGAGCCAGTGCTCTACCCACTGCACCCACCTAGCTGCCCCCTAACATTGATTTTTACAAGATTTTGAGTTCCAAATTTTTCTCCCTCCTTTCCTCTCCTTCCCTCTTCTTAAAATGGTAGGCAATTTGATGTAGGTTATATATGTGCTGTCATATAGAACATATTTCCATATTAGTCACAGTTGTGAAAGAAGAAACAGATCAAAAGAAAAAAAAACAAAGAAGAATAAAGTAAGTTAAAAAAATATTCTTTGATCTGTATCCAGAGTCCATCAGTTCTTTATCTGGATGTGGATAGCACTTTCCTTCATGAGTCCTTTGTACTTGTTTTGAATCAGTGTTGCTCAGAAGAGCTGAATCATTCATAGTTGATCATCACACAATGTTGCTGATACTGCATACAATGTTTTCCTGGTTCTGTGCATTTCACTTTGTATCAGTTTATACAAGTCTTTGCAGGTTTTTCTGAAATCTACCTGTTCCTCATTTCTTATTGCACAATAGTATTCCATTACATTCATTTACCACAGCTTGTTCAGCCATTCCCCAATTGATGGGCATCTCCTCAGTTTTCAATATTTTGCCACCGTGAATATTTTTGCACATATAGGTCCTTTTCCCGTTTTATAATCTTTTTGGGATACAGACCTAGTAGTGGTATTGCTAGATATATATACATATACATATACATACACACACACACACACACACACACACACACTCACACACACACTTTGGTTGCCTTTTGAGCATAGCTCCAAATTGCTCTTCAGAATGGTTAGATCAGTTTACAACTCCACCAATTGTGCCTCAGTGTCCCAATTTTTCCATATGCTCTCCAATATTTATTATCATTTGCTTTTTTTGTCATGTTAGCCAATCTAATAGGTATGAGGTAGTACCTCAGAGTTGTTTTAATTTGCATTTCTCTAATCAAAAGTGATTTAAAGCACTGCTTCATATGCCTTTAGATAGCTTTGATTTCTTCATCTGAAAACTGCCTATTCATGTCCTTTGACCATTTATCAATTGGGAAATGGCTTGTATTCTTATAAATTCAGTTCTCTCTATATTTTGAGAAATGAGGCCTTTATCAAAGACACTTGCTGTGACGATTGTTTTCTAGCTTTCTTCTTTCCTTCTAATTTTGGTTGTATTGTTTTGTTTGTGCAAAAGCTTTTAAATTTAATATAATCAAAATGATCTATTTTACATATCATAACGCTCTCTTTCTCTTGTTTGGTCATGAACGTGTAATTCACTTAACTTCTCCTTTAAGAATTCGGATGCTATACCACTTGGTGCATATATGTTTAGCACTGATATTACTTCATTGCCTATGGTACCTTTTAGCAATATGTGGTTTCCTTCCTTATCTCTTTTAATTAGGTCTATTTTTGCTTTTGCTTTGTCTGAGATCAAGATTGCTTCCTCTGCTTTTTTTTTTTACTTCAGCTGAAGTAAAAATAGATTGTGTTCTAGTCCCTTACCTTTACTCTGTGTGTGTCTCTCTGCTTCAAGTGTGTTTCTTGTAAACAACATATTGTAGGATTCTAGTTTTTGATCCGCTCTGCTATCTGCTTCTATTTTATGGGAGAGTTCATCCCATTCATATTCACAGTTATGATTACTAACTGTGTATTTCCCTCCATCCTATTTTTCCTCTTGTTTATCCTCTCTCTCCTTCCACCCTTTCTGTCCTCACCAGTATTTTGCTTCTGTTTAGCAGCTCCCTTGATCTGTCCTCCCTTCTGTCATTTTCTACCCAACCCCACCCCCTTTAATTAATCTCTTCCCCTCCTACTTCCCTGTTGGGTAAGATAGATTTCTAGATTCAACTGATTGTATATATTGTTCCCTCTTTGAGCCAGTACTGATGAGAGTAAGGTTCAAGTGATGCCTATTGCCCACCCTCCCATCTTCCCCTCTAATAGGTTTTTCGTACCTCTTCATCTGAAATAATTTATCCCATTCTACCTCTCCCTTCCTTCCACACCCAGTGTGCTGTGCTGAGAGGGTGGGGTGGGGGATGGCTGGTACTGCTGGAGGCCATATGGGTCTGGCAGCTTAAACTGAGGTGCTAAACTGAGGCAGCTAAACTGAGGGTCCTAGTGGTGATGTCTGGTGTGTGCTGAGGCTGGTGGGGTGTTTCTGCATTTCCCTGGGGCTACACTGAAGCATGTAGCTGTCTGCCCACTGAAGGTTGCCTGTTTGTCCAGGGCTACACTGAAGCATGCAGTGGTTTTTGGAACTGGGGTCTGTCTATTCCCCTGGCTATGCTGAGGCATGTCTGGTGTTGAGGTTTGCCTGCTCCACCACACTGGAGCTCAGGATCTCCCGTTAGTTTGCTGAGGTGGGACTTGCTGCTGGCTTACTGGGCCACTTCCTGTCCTGGACTGTGTTCCCCTTTTGCCTGAGTAAGACAGACCTTTCTTGTCAATTTCAAAGTTTCTTGGGCTAAAAGATTATTTCGCCCTGTCCTTTTGCTGGTTTTGCTGTTCTGGGATGTGTTTGAGGGTGCTATTTATGGTTGTTGGAGAATATTGGAGAGTTATGGTGATTTACTTCTTGCTCTGTCATCTGGCTCCCCCAGATAGGACAAATTTTGAAGGACAAAGAGATCAGGAAAGGTCCAAGATACTGAACTCTTCCTAGGAAGAAGTTTTGGGAAGGTTCTCCAATAGAATGTCCACATTGATAATTGAGGATAGAATTATAAGAGAAACTGTTTCTTAGAGAAACTCCTACAAAATAGAAGAGTATAGCAGAATGGATTAGAAAGCAGAGTCAAAGATGTTGTTTGTCAGAAATATACTGAAAATTGAAGATTCAGAGAATTAACAATAGACTATAGCAAAACTTATCATGCATGTTTTTTATTATACATTATTGTGCATTATATAGCAATTTATTATTAGCTGCACTAAAAAAGGCTTGAGTAGCAATTATGATTTCAGAAAACCAACAGCAAAAACAGACATAACAAAATAGATAAATAAAGAAGCTTATGCTTGCTATTTATTATACTGATTATTATGTTTATAATTATACTTATGTATTATATTAATTATATTTAAAGACTGTATGGAGATGAACAAACATAATGCATAATATATGCATAGCAATGGCATAATAGCTAAATACATGAAGGAAAAGCTAATTGAATTGCAATGAGAAGCAGACAGTAGAACTATAATCATGGGGGACTTCAATGTACTCAGACAAACCTAACAAAAAGACAAACAAAAAACAAGTTAATGACTTGAATAGAACTTAAAAAAAAAAGAAGGATGATAGACCTCTGGTGATTGTTGAATGAAAATTCAAAAGAATATATATAATTCTCAGTTATATATAGTCTTTTTCAAAAATTAACCATGTATGGTGACACAGGGGATAGAGCTCCAACCTTGGAGTCAGGAGGACTTGAGTTCAAATCTGGTCTCAGACACTTGACACTTACTAGCTATGTGACCCTGGGCAAGTCACTTGACCCTGATTGCCTCACCAAAAAAAAAAAAAAAAAAAAAGCAAAAAAAATTAACCATGTATAAAGACATAAAACCTCACAAATGAACGCAGAAAAGCAGAAATATTAAAAACATCTCTTTTACTGATCGAGGATAATAAAAACTACATTCAATAAAATGACTTTGAAGAAAGGGTTAAAAATATACCAAATGACTAAATCCTTAAGAATTGGTAGGTTAAAGAATAAATCATGGAATTCAGTAAAAGGGAATTATAGCCCTGTATGCTGTGCCCTGGTTGGGCTATGGAATATTGTGTTCCTTTTTGGGTGCGGTATTTTAAGGAGGAAATTGATAAACCAGAGAATGTTCACAGAGAGACCAGTATGGTGAAAGCCCTTGAGATCATGTCATAAGAAGACTGGTTGAAAGAACTAGGAATGTTTAACCGAGAGAAGACTTAGTTAGGGGGCATCCTAGATGTCTTCATGTAAACTGAAGGACTGTCATGCAGAGCTGGGATTCGATTGGTTCTGCTTGGGTCCAGAAGGTATAACAAAAAGCAGAGGTAGAAGTTTTACAGAAACAATGAAGCTTAATGCCAAGAAAAAATTTGTAACGATTAGAGCTATCACAAAGTGCTTCTTCAGTGTGTATAATCTCTAATCATTAAAAATAGTATTTTTGGCCTGTGGGATCATGCTTTCTCATTTTTAATTATGTTAATTTGAATTTGCTCTTTTTATTAGACTTGTTAGTTATTAATCAGTGTTATTAATCTTAAAAACAGCTCTGATTTGTCATTTCAATTTGTTTACTTAATTTCAATTGTATCAGTCTCTTTTTTTATTCTTCTCTTGATTATTTTTTGTTTTCGATTTGTTTGTTGGTGTATTTCTTGCAATTTTCTTGAGTATTTTCATAAGCAGATACTTATTTTCTCTTAGCATAATGAAGCTAGGGATCAGAGAATTAGAAATGATTAAGTGAGATTCAGGATAGGCCAAATGAAAAGAATTTGAGGGGAGGAAAGACTAGTGATTTTTGAAATGTTGTAAACAGAAACGTAACTAGGGTGAGGTGATAAAGCACTGAAATTTAGAAGGCATTGATAACTTTTTGTGGGCATGTCTACTCTCTTACTCCAAGCAGCATTACCCCAGGTGAATGCCTTTCTGCCTGGCCCCACCCTAGACCACACTTATGATAATGTGCTCCCTTCCTCCAGTGGCTGCATCTCTGCACCCTTGTACTTCCTGTCCCCCTTCTCTCTCCAGTAGTGGTCAGTCCTTCAGCAGTCTAGAAAGCTCATGAAATCCTGGTAGTATGTGATTATTTTTCTTAGCAACCATTACCCAGGTGAGGTTCCCACCTTGGTTCCTTAACCACCCCCACTTTTTTATGTGTAAAAATTCTTAGGTATGGATTTATTTGCAAACCTCTAATATATTTGGTAGTTTTTGACAGAAATTTTAAAAAATTTTATTTAAGCCTAAAGATGATTTGCATCCCTTGGTTCATCCTACTGTACACTGTTGGAACCCAACAAATGAGCTATATGTTGGCTGTGAAGAGGGTCATATTCTATTGATAAATGCAGAAAGTCTACTTGTTGCTGTCCTGTCTCGGTTTGCTGAAGTACCAAAAGGTAAGAAACTGCTGTGCTAAACTTTTTAGATATGCATATTAAAAGGTTATTCTTAGTATGCTTAAAGATAATTTTATTCCATATTTTCTCCTTCCCTATAGTCATTTCTGACCCATCCTCCTTTAAACTGCGTATCAAGTTAGCCACCTTGTCCTATTGAATCTTCCTTCAAAATATTTCTTATAGGTGACTTTTATTCTCAATTTCCATTGTCATCACCCTAGTCTAGGCTGCAATAATCTCATACTTATGTTTCTGCAATAGTCTTCTATTTAGACTCCCTAAATATTATCTCCAGTATGTTTTGTGTACTGTTGCCAGACTAATCTTCCTTCAATGTTACTTTCATCATGTCATTATTTAAAAAAACAAAACAAAAGTGTAAAGCTCTCCTGTTAAGTGTAAGCTCCTCTCTGTGGCTTTCAATACCCTTCATAATTTATATTCCATCTACTCTGCTTTTTCATCCAATTTTATTTTCCAGAATTCCCAGATATGACTGCTTCTTTCTATCAGGTCAGTGTCCTTGTTGTTCAGTTGTTTCAGTCATGTCTGACTGACTCTACATGACCCCATTTGGAGTTTTCTTGGCAAAGATACTGGAGTGGTTTGCCATTTCCTTCTCCAGCTCATTTTACAGATGAGGAAACTGAGGCAAACAAGATTAAGTGACTTGCCCAGGGTCACACAACTAGGAAGTGTCAGAGGCCAGATTTGGGCTCAGGAAGATGAGTCTTCCTGACTGCAAGTCTGGCACTCTATCCACTGTATCACTTAGCTGCCCATAATGTCCCGATCATTTTACGACCACATTATGCTTATTGTTACATCTGTGCCTTTGCTCATGTTATTGCTTGTGCTTTTCTTTTGTAAATTCTTCCTGGGGCAGCTAGGTGGAACAGTGGATAGAGCACTGGCCTTGGAGTCAGGAGGACCTGAGTTCAAATATGGCCTCAGACACATTACACTCACTAGCTATGTGACCTTGGGCAAGTCACTTAACCCTGAGTGCCTCACCAAAAAAAAAAAAAAAAGCAAAAAGTAAATTCTTCTAGACCCAGATTAAGTTCTACCTCCTCCATCAACCTTTCTTTGAGTAGTCTAGTCCTTTCTGTTCTTCAACTCCTTTGAACTCCCACTTGAGGGTAAAGTGTGCACCACACAATTTGGCATTGGTTTACCATCCTGGATTGTTCATTAATTATTTCATTTGTGTCAGTATTTTTGTGTGTATTACACTGTAAATGGTTTTAGGGAGGAGCCCTTCATTTGTATCCCTCACAGCATCTGGAATATTGTTTATGGGGTGAAGTATTTTTATTGAAATTTGAACTATTGCTTTCATATTTTTTGGTATTTTATATGTATAAAACAGTAGCTCGTATTTGTATAGTAATTTACAAAATATTAAGTATTTCAATAAGTCAGCAAATCATTCACCAAGCAAATTTGTCAAGTAGCTGTTATGTGCCAGGTGCTGTGCTAGGTGCTAGGGATAAAAAAAAAAAATGAAGTAGTCTCTACTCTGAATGAGCTAACTTACATTCCATAGCTGTATATATAAAGTATATACAAAATAATTACAAGGTAATTTTTTTTGGTAGAGTAGTACCAGTAGCTGGAGGGATCAGGAAAGGTTTCATGTAAAAGATGGCACTTGAAGGGAAATCAAGATTCTAAGAGACAGGATTAAGATAAGAAGAGTATATTTCAGGCATGGAAGACAACCTTATAAATGCAAAGAAACTGTATACTGACATGTGTGAGGAATAGCAAGAAGGCCAGTCTGGCTGAATTGTAGAGTGCATGAAGAGGAATAATATATGCGATTAGAAAGGTAGGTTGGGGCCAGGTTGTGAAAGGGTTTAAATACCAAACAGAGGAGCTTAAATTGTAGGAGCTAGCCACTGGAGTTTATTCATTATGACGTGACAAGGTCAAATGTTTGCTTTAGAAAAATCAAATCAGCAGCTTTTGAAGTTGGACTAGAGAGGTAAAACACTTGAAGCAAGATGACCAGTTGAGAAGCTCTTCCAGTAGCCCAGCTGAGAGGTGATGAGGGATTGAAATAGTATGGTGACTGTGTGTTTAAAGAGAAGGTAATGGATGGGAAAGAGGTTGTAGAGATAGAAACAATAAAATTTGGCAACTAATTGGCTATTTGGGAGAGTGCGGAATTGAAGCTAAGATTGGGATTTAGAAACTGAGGGACTGGAATAATGATGATACCCTGATTAGAAGTGGCTTTTTTTTAGGGGGGAAGGTAATAAAATCTGTTTTGGACATGTTGAGCTTAAGAAACCTATTGGAAATTCAGTTTGAAATGTCAAATAGGCATTCAGAAATGTGCGAATGGAGCTCAGGAGAGGTAATAGAGTATGCTATGTATATCTGGATGGATATGTCATCTTATGTGTTATATATGTGTGTGTGTGTGTGTGTGTGTGTGTGTGTGATAATTAAAGCTATGGGAGCTGGTGAGATCGTCAAGTGAGAGAGTATATAGAGAGAAGGGTACCCAGCATAGAGTCCCTTAGTTAGGAAGCTTGATATGGATAATGATCCAGCAAAGGAATTTGAGGAATGGTCAGACAAGTTAGAAAACCAAGGGAGAACATTGTAATGAAAACCCGGAAAAGTGTGAATATCCAGGAGGAGAGCATGATAAACTGTATCAAATTCTGCAGAGAACTGGAGGATGAGGATTAAGAACAGTCCATCAGATTTGGTAAGTAAGAGGTCATTACTACTTCGGATACTTCGAGAGAGCAGTTTTAGGGAAGGCAAGGCACGGTAAGAAGCATTAAACATGTACTGTGTGTCAGGCACTGTGCTAAGTGCTGAGGATACAAATACAAACAAAAAAAAAAGACAATCCTTGCCCTTAAGAAGCTTACATTCTAGTAGGGGAAACAGCTATGTATATAGAGAATAAATGTAAAGAGAATAAAAACAAATCAAAAGCAGTTAAATACAGAGTAGTTTCAGAAGGACATTAGTTGTTGAAGGACATTAGAACAGGAAAAACTTCACCTAGAAGGCAGTACTTGAGCTTCATCTTAAAGTAAGAGAGAGAATCCATGAGGTGAGGCAGAGGAATGAAAACATTGCGGTCATGGGACATGTCCATTTCAAAGGCACCAAGACTGTCCTATAAGAAACCAGAGAGAAAGCGAGTTTGACTTGATTGCAAGGTGTGAGAGGATGAGTTATATGCACTGAGGGTAAAAAGATAGAGTGGGGCCAGATTTTGAGACCATAAACAATTTATATTATCCTAGAGACAGTAGGAGGCACTGGATTTTATTGATCAGGGGAGTGATCTGGTTCATCTGCAGTTAGGGAAAATCATCACTTGCTCTGAAGGATGAGCAGGAGCAAGTACCACCCAAGCTGAGCTATGTACAATGTTCTCCTAGTTCTGTTCACTTCATTTTGCATCAGTTCATATAAGTCTTTCCAGGTTTTTCTGCTAGCACTCCATCATTTCTTATAACCACAATAGTATTTCATCACAATTGTATATCACAACTTGTTCAGGTATTTTCCATTTGATACATATCTTCTCAATTTCCAATTCTTTACCACCACAAAAAGAGCTACTATAATTATTTTTGTACATACAGGTCTTCTCCTTTTCCTTTTTTAAAAAATCTCTTTGGGATAGAGACCTACTAGTGCTATTGCTGGGTCAAAGGGTATACACAATTTTATAGCCCTTTGGGTATAGCTCCAAATTGTTCTCCAGAATGGTTGGATCAGTTCACAAGTCCACTAACAATGCACTAGTGTCCCAATCTTCCCACATCTCCTCCAACATTTGTTGTTTTCCTTTTCTGTCATATTAGCCTATCTGATAGGTGTGAGGTTGTACCAGAGTTGTTTTAATTTGCATTTCTCTAATCAATAGTGATTTAGAGCAATGACTATAGATAGTTTTGATTTCTTCATCAAAAACTGCTTTTTCATATCCTTTGACCATTTATATCAATTGAGGAATGACTTATATTCTTATAAATTTGGCTCAATTCCCTATATATTTGAGAAATCAGGCGTTTTTCAGAGAACTTGCTGTAAAAAATTTCTCCCCAGTTTTCTACTTTCCTTCTAATCTTGGCTGCATTGGTTTTGTTTGTGCAAAACTTTTTTAATTTAATATAACAAGAATCAACCATTTTACGTCACATGATATTCTCTATCTCTTATTTGGTCATAAATTCTTTCCTTACCTATTGATTTGACAGGTAAACTATTTCATGCTCTCATAATTTGTTTATAGCATTATAGCATTCTTTATGCCTAAATCATGTACCCATTTTAACATTATTTTGGCATACAGTGTGAGATGTTGGTCTATACCAGGGTTGGGGAACCTGCTGCCTTGAGGCCACACATGGCCTTCTAGATCCTTAAGTGGTGCCTTTGGACTGAATCCATGGGTGGATTTGTGGAAATCCATGGAAAATTAGATTTTTTTTTCTGTAAAATTTGGATTCAATCAAAAGGCTACCCTTAAGGATCTAGAAGGCCACAGGTTCCCCACCCCTGGTCTATACCTAGTTTCTGCCAAATTGCTTTCCACTTTTCTTAGCAGTTTTTTGTTCAATAGTGAGTTCATCTCTCCAAAGCTTGGATCCTTGAGTTTAACAAACACTAAATTATTATGGTCTTTTACTGCTGTGTATTGTGTACCTAATCTATTCCAATGATCCACTATTCTATTTCTTAGCCTGTACTGGATTGTTTTGATGATTATCCACTTTGTAATACAGTTTGAGATCTGGTGCTGCTGGACCACCTTCCTTCACACTTTTTTTCATTGACCCCCTTGATATTCTTGACCTTTTGTTCTTCCAAATGAATTTTGTTATTTTTTCTAACTCTATAAGATAATTTTTGGTAGTTTGATTGGTATGGCACTGAATAAGTACATTAATTTGGGCAGAATTGTTATTTTTATTATATTGGCTCTGCCTACCCATGAGCAATTATTATTTTTCCAGTTGCTTGGATATGGCTTTATTTGTGTGGAAGGTATTTTGTAATTGTGTTCATATAGTTCCTGGGTTTGTCATGGTAGGTAGACTCCAAAATATTTTACATACAAAAAGTATACTTGTTGGAGAAAAATGTATTATATTCTTATCTACAAAAAATACATAAGGAGTTTATCCTATGAATATAGCTGGTCTCACTTAAATCAAAGAAATCTCCTTGTTGGACTAGACAGGGAAGAGATCTTTCCCCGGATACTGGAATCCTCCACCTTCAGTAGCTAAGTTTTTTGGTTCTAGTAAGTGAGAGTAACATTGAAGTTCACAGTTTTTCCTTCACTTACAACTTTCACTTATAACAAAATAGCTGAAGACAATGTGCCCTGGTGTTCATATGGGAGGAGTGTGTATCTTTGTCCACTTTTCCTACAGGTTTCAAACTGACTTCCAGAAGGTCTGTAACAATTTACAGTTCTGCTAACAATACACAAATGAATTTGTCCTCCTGTATGCCTACAATAACTCTTCTTTCCTTTTTAAAAATCTGTGCCGATTTCATTACTGATAAATGGAAACTCAAGAGTTATTTTCATTTGCATTTCTCTTGTTATTAAGTGATTTAGAACATTCTTTTACTTATTGAAAAAAAGTGAGGATGAAAAGAACCTAGAAGGACTATATCTCAAAATATATATACACCATAAAGCAATCTTCATCAAAGACATTTGGTACTAGTTAAAAAATAGAGAAGTCAATTAGTGGAATAGATTATATATAAAACATATGAAAGCAAATAGTCATAGTAGCCTAGTGTTTGAAAAAACCCAAAGAAAGACCCCAGCTATCTGGATAAGAAATCACTATTCCACAAAACTATTGGGAAAATTAGAAAGCAGTCTCACAGAAATTAGAGTAAGACTGCACATCATATACCAAAATTTAAAACATTTTTTCACATAGTTATTGATGGCTTTGAATTCTTCCCTCAGTAAAATTCTTATTCATATCTTTTAATTGTTTATTTCTTAAGGAATGACTCTCATTCTTATATATTTGAATCAGATACCTATGTTTCTTGGATATTATACCTTCATAAGAGAAACTTGCCGTAAAGATTTTTCCTAGTTAACTTTCTCTTAATTTAACTGTGCCGATTTTGTTTCTGCAAAAGCTTTTAAATTTCACATACTCAGAATTGTCCATTTTATCTTCTTTGATTCTTTCTATCCCTTTTCCCTCTATCCATAGCTGTGAAAAGTATCTTCTTTGCTCCTCTATTTTATCTATAATGTAACTTTTTTTGTCTTGCCCGTTAATACCTTTGGAGGTTATTGTCATATATAGTGTGAGATCTTGGTCAAAACCTAATTTTGTCCGGGTGTTTTCCGAGCAGTTTTTGTGAAATAATGAGTCTTTATCTTAGTAGTTATGGTTTTTTGGTTTTTAAAATACTCTACTATGTTCGTTTGCTTCTGTGTGTTATCTATCTAATCTGTTTCACTGATTGACTTTTTTTAGCCAGCATCAGATGATTTTGATGATTAGGTTTTTGTAATATAGTTTGAGATCTGGTATTGCTCGGCCCCTTCCCTTCTCACTTTTTTATTATTTCCCTTGAGAATCTTGACTTTTTGTACATCCAGATGAATTTTATTATTTTTTAGCTTTCTAAAGTAACCCATTGGTAGTTTGACTGGTATGCCACTGACTAAGCAAATTAATTTACGTAGTATTATCATTTTTTATTATTTTGAAATGGCTTAAACATGAGAAGTTAATATCTATGATTATTTTGGTTTGTCTTTTTTCCTGCGAAGTGTTTTATAGTTGTATGTTTTCAGTGTGTGGTGTTAGGTGGACTTCCAAGTACTTTATGGAATATATAATTATTGTAAATGTACTTTCATTTTCTATTTCTTCATGCTGGGTTTTGTTGGTAATATACAACAAAGCTGATGATAAATGGGGGTTTATTTTATATCTTGCTACTTTGCTGGTTATTTTTTAAATTTATTTTTTAGTTGGATTTCTAGGTTTCTCTAAGTAGACAATCATATCATCTGCAAAGGTGATAGTTTTGTCATCACTTTACCTTTGTTTATTCCCTCAATTTATTTTCCTTAATTACTTCTATTGTTAGCATTTATAAAACTGTATTAAATAATAGTGGTGTCAATGGATTTGCTTTGCTCTTGATATTATTTGAAAGGCCTCTATCCTGTCTCTGTTACATAAAATGCTGATTCTTGATTTTAGATAGATATTATTCACTACATTAAGGAAAATACCCTTTATTCTTATGCTTTTTAGTGTTTTTAACAGAAAGGTTATATTTTATCAAAACTTTTTTCTTCATCTATTGATATAGCCACGTATTTTCGTTATTTCTATTAATAAGATCCATTTTGCTTATTATTTTCTTCATTATTGAACCAACTCTGAAGTTCTAGCATGAATCTAACCTAATGCAAGTCTATAATATTAATATGGCAATGTAACCTTTGCTAATTTTGCATCAGTATTTGTTAGGGATATTAGTCTATATTTTCCTTTATCTGTTTTGTCTTTCCATGATTTAGGTTTCAAGACCATTTTTTCATCATAGAAGAAATTTGGTAGGATTCCCTCTTTTCTATTTTGTCAAATAGTTTTTATAATATTAGTTTTAATAATTATTTGAATATTTCAGGCAACTCACTTTAAGTTCATGTGGTTCTGGTATATTGGGCAGGGGGCAAGGAGCATTCATTTGTGGCTTATTCAATTTCTTCTTCTGAGCTTTGCTTATTTAAATTCCTTAATCCTTATTTTGCTAATCAGTTTATTTAAAATTTTCATAAATATTCATTCATTTAAGTTTTCAATGTTGTTGAATTTTGTTTGGTTTTTTTGGTTATATAATTTTGTTTTGTATAATTGGGCAAATGATTTATTCTTATTTCCTTTAATGTTTTGTAAATTCTCACTTTTAATTTTTTGATATTGGCAATTTAATATTTATCTTTTAAAAATAATATTAGTTAACGCTTTATTTTATTCATTTTTTCAAACTCATCTTATTTTTTATCAATTAATTGTTTTGCATTCAGTTTTGTTTATCTCTTATTTGATATTTAGAATTTATATTCTGATTTTTTTTAGGGTTGTCTGATTTATTTCTTTTCTGGTTTTTTTATTGATCTCTTTTGTCTTTTGTATTGATGCAAGTGATTAGAAATATAAAATTTTCCTTAGTGATTGTGCCACCCAAAATCTGTGACATATTGTATCATTGTCATTTTCTTTGATAAAATTATTATTTCTGTGATTAGTTCTTCGACCCTCTAATCCTTTAGGATAAAATTATTTAGACTCCACTTAAATTTGAGTCCTTTCCTCAAAGGCTCCTTGTTAATTATAATTTTATTGACTTGAGTTGAGCATAGGATATGTTTTATATTTCTGCTTTTCTGCATTTGTTAGGTTTTTATGCCCTAGCATATGGTCAGTTTTTGTTATAGTGCCATGTCCAGCTGGAAATCTGTATATTCCTTTCTGTTCCTGTTCATTGATTTCCAGAGATTGATGATATCTCACTTTTCCAAAATTCTATTCAAGTCTTTAACTTCTTTCTTATTTATCTTTTTGTTAGATTTGTCTAGGTTCGAAAGGGGCACACTGAGGTCCCCAACTACTGTAATTTGCTGACTGCTCCTTGCAGTTTGACAGGCTTTTTCTTCACATAATTGGAAGTTATACCATACAATGCATAAATATTAAGTATGGATGTTATTCTGTGTGGTGCCTTTAAGCTTAATGTAGTTCATTGGTTTATTTCTTTTAAAAACATTTATTTTTATTATTGTCTTATTTGGGATAACAATGGCTATTGCTTCTTTTAAAAATTTGCCTAAATCATAATCAATTCTAAAGTAGAACCTCATTTTGACTCTCCATGAAACTTTGTTTCAAGTATGTTTCTTATAAATAGCATATTGCTGGATTCTGCTTTCTAATTAATTTTTCTGCCTTTCTCTTTCTTATGGGTAAGTTCATCCCTTTCACAGTCATGGTTATAATGGTTAATTGTATATTTCCCTTGATTATATCTTGGACTTTTTCTTTTCTTTGCCTTCTCTCCCACAATTTCTGTCTTTACTAGGAAAGATAGTAAGGGTAGATAATAAGACTAGTAGCTCAGTGATACATTAATGTACCCAGCTTGCTTTAGGTAAGATAGCCACCCATCTGTGGGTATTTGTGCTTCAGTGGGGGATCTCAAGACAATAAGCTTAATCATATCTAATTTGGAGTGTCACTTAGAGGTTTTCAGTTGCGTGAAATACTCTGTTTCTTTATCCTTTTCATATCATGTTACTGTAGGATAGCAGCTTGCTTGGAATATTCTAAGGCCAGTAATATGTGAGTATTATTTCATACTGAGTAAAGTATATAAATGTTTCTGTTGACTTAAGATTTTAAATGTGTAATATCCTGCAGGGTGTTGTAGCTCTCTGCGGAAATCAATTTCAACAAGTATTTATTAAGCATCTGTTATGTGCAAGGTACTATGTTAGGCATTATATTTGAAAGTTTTTCATTTTTTTCTTTTCACATATAGATGAAAATATACTTACCGTGATGCCTTCATCCATGCTGACGCCTGAAGAAAAGTGGAGACAAAAAGGTATGCACTTAAAAAAATGAATGAATATCCTAGGATAAGAAAGTTCAAGCTTATGTTAACCTTTAGGGTAAATTTCTTGATGAACCCCTTCTAATAAAGTAAATTATTTTTTCTGCAATGGGGAGTTGTTTTTGTGTGTCACATGACTTTCTCTAAAGGAAGGCTCTTATTCAAAAATAAATCTTTCAGAGTTCCTTTTTTACCTCTTAGATACTTGGTAAATCTTTTGCTTCTTGATAACCTGTAGAAATGCTGCCTATAATTGCAGCTACTGTACTAGGTTATTGAAGAAGGCTGTGTAAACTACCCTCAAAATACAATCAGGACTCATATCTTAAAGGAAAAGCAGTCTTCCATGAACTATCTTGCCTGATTTTTTTTTACTCTTCCTTTTTGGCATCCCCTTTAGGGCTTGTGTACGTTTATTTTATATGTATTGTGTATTTTATCCTACATAAAATTATTATGACTAATACCTATGGTCACAACTTTTAGACCACCTTTAAGGAAAACCAGACCAACTGAGGTCCTGTCTATCTGTTCTTTCTTTCTTTCTACCTCCCTGTCTGTCTATCTGTCTCTATTTATTTATTGAAGCATTTCCCACAGTCCCCTTATTACCATCTCCATGCTGCTGTTCCAGATATAATGTTATATTTGGAATAAGATGTAGGTTTGAATCCTATCTCTAACACTGGTTATGAAACTATGGGCAAGTCACTTAAGTTTCCTTACCTGTAAAATGGGGAAAATAATAATACCTTTAAATACTTACCTCATAGGGTTGATCTGAGGTTCAAATAATGTATGTAAAGAGTATTACAAACTTTAAAGTGCTATATAATTATCCATAGTAGTTCTTACTCTCATGAATATTAATCATTGTTGTTATTTTTTATTATCATTTCTTATAGAGAGGCGGTATAGAGTAGTGGACAGAGTCAATCTCAGAGATAGGGATACCTGGGTTCCAATTCAATATGGGATACATATTTTCTGTGTGACCCTGGGCAATGCACTTAACTTTCTCGGTGTCCTAGGCTACTAACTCTCAAAGACTGTAAGTTGCAGATTTGCATTTGTAGAGGGAGTTTCCTCACCTGAAAGCTCCCTACATCGGTGATATCATGGGTCTGCACAAATAGAATATCCTTTAAAGATTGTGTATGTTTTATGTGTGTATTCAGACTGAGACTGTGGTATGTATAGGTGCACTTCAGCCCATCTTATTGGCAAGCTCCATAAGACTCAAAGTGGGAGGGAGGAAAAGGTTTTGCCAACTAATCCAGGATCCTGTATTTCCCTGAGCCAAACCCTTCCAAAGCAGTGAGAATTCCAGTGCTTTTTAGGAGCCTGCGGTTTTTCCAAGAAGGCCTCCTACCACGTTATGCCTACCCATTTCCTTTAGCTCTCTCAGCTATTTTAACTATTGGTCATTTTAACAGAAGGTTACTTGTTCATATGTTGCTCTGTAGTTCTGAAGATGAAGATGTTCTACAGATGTTTACAACTTTCTTGTCTTGTAAAAGTTCTTTGAGGACAGGAAAAAAAGAAACATGTATTCCAGGTCTTTTTAATCCCCCTTATAGTGATTATTGATTTACCAGCTAAAAGATTGACAATGAGAGGCTGAAAATCATACATTATAAATAAGGAATCTTAGCAACTCTCTTAAGCTGTTTCCTTCCACCTTGAGGTATCAATTTCATAAACCTTATTTCGCTGGACAAAAACTTCCAGAGAAATGAAAAATAATAGTGTGAATGGAAAGTTCTTATGATTTTGAAGTGGAAGATAGATTAGAGGTCATTGAAACCAACTGCTTTCCTCATTTTACAGTCAGTCAGTGAACATTTATTGAACTCAATCTATAAGCATTTTACAAATGAGGAAAGTGCTGCCCTGAGAGTGTAAGTGACTTGCTCAGGGTTACACAGCTGGTAAGGCTCTGAGGCTAGATTTGATCTCAGATCTTTCTGACTCAAGGTCCAGTGTTCTATTTACTTATTATAGTACCTCTTCATAATAGCATGAATGTAAAGTTGATGATTATTATAATACTTTAATGTTTCTATCACTTATGTTACTTTTTTTCATGAAAATGAAGAAATCCATTCTAAAGATACCAGCGTAAACACCATGGCATTTCACAAAGAAGGATTATTTGTTGCTGGAAATGTAAGATGTTCTTCCATATTTATTTTCCTTTAGAAAACACATGGCAGGGGCAGCTAGGTAGCTCAGTGGATGGAGCACTGGCTCTGGAGTCAGGAGTAACTGAGTTCAAATCTAGCCTCAGACACTTGACACTTACTAGCTATGTGACCTGGGCAAGTCACTTAACCCTGATTACCTCACCCCCCCCCCCCCCCCAAAAAAAGAAAGGGAAAAAAAAAGAAAAGAAAATACATGGCACAAAGTTTCCTTTTCCTGTTCTTCTGACCCAGATTTTAGAATGTTAATTCTTTCAGAATAATATTCTGAATTCCTGAATTTGTTGTTTGTCTTTTCAAAATGAATGAAAACTTTAAGAAATATAATCTCTTGGGGGACAAGGTGGAAAGGGTAAAGGGAAGCACAGTAAAGAAATCTCAGATGATTATATTTAATTATAGCCTTAGCTAAATCTTGCTTCCAGGCAACATTAATTGTATATTTCTGTCACTCTTTTATATTCTTGGGGGTGTTAGTCATGATTTTACCACCTCAACAGTTTTCTCAGGGTCAGAGATTTAGAACCAGAACAGGTCCTTTGAGGTCATTCTTTCTTTCTTTCTTTCTTTCTTTCTTTCTTTCTTTCTTTCTTTCTTTCTTTCTTTCTTT